AATGCATTCTTGTTGGGAAAAAAAAAAATCTTACTGATCCCAAAATTTTGAACAGTAGTGAATCAATATGTGATTCAGAACAGCAAATTATTGCAGCGTGCAACGTTTCCACTGAACTAGCATTTTCAAAACCGACAGAATGGAGGATGAGAAAATGAAAAACAGCATCTCTCTCTTTTCAACATAACTCAGCTTACAAGAGGTTCCAATAGTCTTCTAGCCAGCGAACCAACGGGAGAATATTTTCCAGCAATCCAGACCTCAATTTCCTTCCTTTCTGCTGTAAAGTGTGAATGTGCGAGCGCAAGCAGGGGAGGGGGAACTTTTACCGAGGACACAAAAGCAGAAGAAAACAGGCCCCTCGAGTGGACGATCAGAATAGCGTGTTCGAGTGGCTACATCTGTGTTTGCGAGATTAAGAGAGGCCTGAGTGAAGGTATTTAAGCAAGAATGGAGGACATCCTCAAGGTTGTTTTTCTGCTAACTATTCACAGTCACAGCTTCAGTGAGCGATTGGGAGCTGGAACAATACACAGATAGTTAATAGATAAAAGGCCAAAATCAGTGACCTCAAATCACTTGGAAGGGAAAATGTGGACATGCCACCCACCACTGCTTTCCAAAGTTACCTTTCATGAACTGAAAAACAAGCACATTATTGGTGGGCCACACGTCCATCTCAAAGTACCGTGGTATTACAACTTTAAAACATCACTTGTGCTACCGCAGCACTTTTTTTGTAAGTGGAGTTTTTCATTTCTTTTTCATTCATTTCTTCATAATATATGCCGCTAACATTGTAACATACAAATGAGAACACAAACACTAATGAGGGAGTGTATTCTGGCATTGAAAACATAAAAGCATTGAAGGATTGAGAGGATTTGAACATAAGCCACATTTTGCTCACATTCTGGCTTCTCGGTCTATATAAATCCATTGAAAGCAAATGTGCCACTTTTTGTGCTTAAATATACAGATTTGTACTTTCACAAGGAACTGAGCCAAACCTCCAAGACTTAAACTCAATCAACATTGTTCTCATTTATGAAATAAATGTTTTGTTCTTGTTGTTCTGGATACTATGCAGTGGCACAAAACAGTGAAATCTGAGCTCAAGTTGGAATGCCGCAAGATGGAAAATAACAGAGCCATGCAGAGGTTAGCTTTTTTTGACATCTTATTTTCACAGCTAAGAATTTATTTATTTTTTTAAGTCCACTTCTACTTCCCAAATACTGACACATTTAGGTCAATCATGTACAAGGTTAATTCTCAAAGCAGGCAAGCAAGAGTTGAAGCCATTAGCATTATCCAGCGTGTATGAGGCATTCCAGACAGACATCATGATGTGGCTCTATGTTAAATTAACCACACAAACATCTGCATTAAAACACAAACCATGACACAGAAAACGAAAAAAGGCTTTTTAAAAGATATTATCAAGGTGACTATTTCTAAAACTACTAAAATAAACTAAACTATAAAATAAATAAAAATAAAATAAAAAACTGTGCAAAACAAAACTGTGGCAATACCATGTTTCAAAGATATA